TATAGTACAGATAAAGGAAAAATTGCGAAAACCGTAAACCGAAAACTTGCATTGCCATTTCATAAGCGATATTTTAGTTAGAACAATATAGGGAGTTTGTTCTGGTAGCGTTCCAATTACAGCATTATAGCGCATTATGCGGCATAATGCTTAACGTTGAGTGTTTCAACTACAGCAACGCTTCGCACAATCGAGCACTCTCAAAAATAATGCTTTCGTGTGATGCGCGCAATCGTACCAACTCAGAGACAGAAAATTAACAAATGTTTTTTCTTTAAGTTGGCATTGATCAAAATGTTTTATTGATATGTTATCGTTAGTAATATTATTTATTGTTATGTTTTTATTTATTTTTTAAGCATTTAACTGCTAGATGTTAAAATCTAAAGAAAATTTTACTAGAAAAAAATCCACGTGGACCAGGCAGCGGACGGGACTCGAACCCGCATCCTTCGCAATCCAGCCAAATGCACTGACCATTATTAACGAAAACTAATTCACGTTCCAATTAAGCATCAGCATAATTCGGCATTGTGCGCCACTGAGTCGCATTATGCTCTGTAATTGGAAAACCACTTCTGATCTGTCTGATATTTGGTATTTAGTAATAGCTACAGACCAAAGCAGCTTAAGGAGAGTCTACGAAATCGGTGTTACCAACATATAAGCTTTCCCCCAAACTTAGGAGGAATGTATACATCAAGTTTACCTATAGGAATTTTTATTTAATATGGTAATTTCTAGCCTTCTAATCATTAAAATAGTGTCTAATGGTACACATATTACGTCGTGGGCGTAATTTTTTTTTATTCCCTAACGTCTGAACATCAAACAAAAATCAAAGGTTCTCACCAAAAAGTTTTTTTCCCATATTCCGACAAAGGACCACCCCACTACCGTACCTACCTTATTTGCTACGCAGCAAACATAACCGTTTGGCGTTGTAGTTATTTTTAGGGGCATTCGTTACTGAAGTTTACTTTGATTTGATTTAAATTTACAAATTCTAGGGTCCATCCCTGATCTACGGGAACTTTAGTTTTTGAAGTGAAACTTCTTTATCGGCGTTGGAAAAAAATTTACCGCCACATTTTTCGGTTACGCGTCACATTTTTCCGTTACGCGCCATCTTTTTTTTATATTAATAGTTGATAGCTGAATGATCACACTGTCGCCGGCGAGAACTCTCTCTACTCGTTTACAAACGACTCAGCTACAGCTGAGTCACAATAGTTATTAAAGATAAGACTCGCTCAGCCAAACTCGCATAGCGGTACTCGCTCAGCGATACTCGCTCAGCGATACTCGCTCAGCGATACTCGCTCAGCGATACTCGCTCAGCGATACTCGCCCAGCGATTCTCGCTCAGCGATACTCGCTCAGCGATACTAGCTCAGCGATACTAGCTCAGCGATACTCGCTCAGCTATACTCGCTCGGTTAAGCTGGCTTGGCTGTCAAAAGCCGTGCGCGTGCATTTTAACTCAGGACTGCCAATTCGTTTCTAGTTTCTACTCGCTTATCGTTCATCGTCGGAGGTGGAACATGTGCCTTAGATTACTGAGCCGTGTAATCATAACAGTTTCATAGGCAGTAATTGTATTCATGTCTATGATAATAAAATCCTTTTGTTTAAACTTTATCTAATTTAACTTTATTTAACCAATTTCTGGAAAGTTGCATGTAGATCATTTTTCGAAAAATAAGGCCATAAAGAAGTTTCACTTCTTACGTGTGTACACTAGTACACGCATACATTTTTTTACGTTAGGTTTAGGGGTAAATGATTTTCGAAGTCGGTAACACTGGCATAAATCTGGCTTCATTTTTAATGAGCGTATCGAAAGCTTTTCTTTGGCCGAGAGTTCAGGGATTGTTTCCTTTAAAGGTTGCACGTTAGTATGAAATTGTAAATAGGGGTTTTTTCACGTGTCGTTTGGTGTAATGAAAATTGATGTTGGAAAAGGAGAAAGTGCAGCTTTTGGTTAACTATTAAGATAATGGTTTAATAGGTCTGTTGGAAAAGAGGACCCTGATTGTTATTGCACTACTCTGTTTATTTGTAGTTACGAAACAACATGTCAAGGCCTGATGGTCGGATGGTGCTCTTTACTTGAGAGTCTTGGATGATCTGTTTCATACATGTTCTTGTGTATGTATTATCCATATCACGCCATGTACTATAGAAAACGGAAACAACGATTTCTTTATTTTGATACTAGCATAGCGGGTCCCACGGATATTGCATTGCCCGAAAAAATATAGGTTCCAGTAATTAATCTAAAGTATACCCAACACACACATAAAATTTCTTCTAAATCGCTCCAGACCTTTATGAGGATTTTAGTAATATACACAATCAGGTTTATTTACAATGCTGCGTACGATGCTAATCTATGAAAAATAGCGTAGCCTTAGTGTCGCCGCACACGGGCCACACGCCACAGCCACTAACGCTGCCACGAGAAGCTAGAAGCGGCTACTAAAGTGGCTGAAGCGCGCGATAGCGGCCGACTAAGGTAAGGGAGACAGGGGTGGGGAATCACGCGAGTGACGTGTGGCGGCGTTTTGTATCGGCGCATTTAGTGGCCGGTGCGGGCCACAAGAAGCTAGCAACGACGATTTATAGCGTGTGGCGGCCACCTGCGTACTGTGTGTCGCGAGTCCATATAAAATGTATGAAACTACCAGAAATATGCCGGTGGCGGCGTTACGTGGTTGTGGTCGGTGGCCCGTGTGCGGCGACACTTACCTTAGTCGGCCGCTATCGCGCGCTTCAGCCATTTTAGTAGCCGCTTCTAGCTTCTCGTGGCGGCGTTTGTGGCTGTGGCGTGTGGCCCGTGTGCAGCGACACTTAATTAACATAATATGGTAATTGGTTTAAAGTCTAAAACAATGCTGACCAACTATAGTAAAATATAAGAAAAAATATCACACAATACTTATATCTTACATTATTTTGCCCCAATACCTACATTACAGTATCCTAAACACGAATTTTGGCAAATCCGTATTCCTATCGCCAACATCAAAGTTTCTATGGAAATTAAGCAGCACGTCTACCGGGCGTAAGAACTAGCTTCCGCAAAAGACAGTACTCTAACAGTAGAAACTCTGACATAGCGATACGAATACTTTTCGCTAGTTGTTTTACTTGGGTTACAGGTAGGGTTACCATCTATTTCAGGGAGGATGTCGGATTATTTTCAGAAAAAAACCTGTCTATAATAAAAAAAAAATGTGTTGTCAGCTCCCACGCACGACTGGAGTTTACTTCTTAAGTTCGATAGTCTAACCAGACGCAAAAAGAGTTTATTTAATTTAAAAAAGATTGATACTGTATGAAAGGGTAAATTAACAAATTAATGAAAATAATATACATATATAAATATATATTTATTCATTTCATATACATTTATTATAACTAATCGACGAAATATTTTACATTAAACTTTTTACAATAGTAAATTTCAGATGTGCATAAATAAAGGTACGCTACGATACTGTGCTACGGTGTAGCACTACGGCTGCTACAGCGTTGACAGTAAAAACGTAACGAGGTCATTCACATTTTTCTCATACCGGGCCCCTTATATATGCAAATCGATTCTTAAGGAGTAAACTCCAAAAAATCTTTAAGCCAAATAAAGAAACTAATATTGTTACAGTTCACGTAAACAATGCATCCCGCCGCCCGCTGATTCCACCCGTCCGCAAATCTCGATTTTCCTAACTGCAATGCGTGGGCCACACACACTCGCCACGCGCGCATGGTGCATGCGTGTCGTGACTGCGTGAGTGACATGCGAAATTGAAAAATGCCTGTCTTAGCTTAGCACCGGCCGCACGCCTGTCTACCGTAAAATGTCTGTCAAATTCGGCGAAAGTCCATCAGATGGTAACCCTAGGTACAGGAGAAACAATAACGGAATAAACGAACGAATCGTTTAAAATTGTAAAATATGAACAAGCCGTTTATCGCAGTTCCCACAATCGTGTGCCAATATGTTTGCGGATTAAAAGTTTAAATTATATTATTTTAACAGATTAAGCGTATGATAAAACAGAGCCGTCTATGTGCACGATATCGGGGTTGTAGTTTAATTTAACTTTAAACCCAGTTTTATTGCTTACTAACGATATTTATGGGCATTCCTGTTTGACCTCATAAATGCGAGCTGTTTTATTGTGTTTTGCATGTAGACGGAATCTTATTTTTATTTATATCACGAAAGCGTTTATAACACATATTAAATAAAAAAACTTATTATTAGAGTATAGATAGAGGGAGAGTGTTATTGTTTGCCTTAAGAAGATGTGAAAAATTATAAGCTTACAAATTAATGTGATGCATTGTTAACAAAAAAAAAATAAAAAAACCCGACTGCCTAAATTTTACTTCAAATAAAAACTGAAAAGCAAAAAAACAAGCCCAGTAGTCTATAATTCTGTTAAGTATGGAACAAAGCTACTTTAACAGTGCGTGTTATGCGCCATATTGTGGCTGTGTGAATTTTGATTGCTATTATATCTCTAGTAGCACTCCCGTGATTAAGACGAATTGATTGACGTATGAATCATCAAAATCGGTCCACGCGTTTTGTCGCTATTGTGCCACAAATGAACATCTCTGAATAAGAGGAACATACATACATTGAATGTTAAACACTATACCCTGTCTGCGCGTTGAGTTTCGCGCTCTTGCATTGCACAGTCGGGTAAAAAAAGTGTAAATACGCATGTGAGTACAGTGAGGCTATTTACAGTTTCAGCGATCCTAGTATTTAATAGACATATACATGTCGAGTGCTCTACTTGTACTTTTACTACTTGTAGAAGTAGAGCATTATATTATAGATGTCGAAGAGACCTCAATGTGTCTAACAGACATTTTGCCGAATTTTGTATTTCGCCTCCCTGACAAAAAGCCGAGTCGCTTCGGTTCGGCGTCTTTTAAGCAGAGGCTGATTGTATAAAAGTAGACCCTTGTACTAGATAAATCTAATGATATGTGTGCCATATTGACGACTCCGAGCATCTAGTTTTATAATACGGGTTCCACCATTGTCTGAATTTGATGTTTCTCGTTCGGAACGTCAGCCAGTGTCTATTGTTGAGCGCTTTGCACAAGGCGCAGGGGTCTAGGTTCTTGGTGCCTTTGATGATGTAGTGGTTGCTCCACCGGAAGTAGTCGTAGTATAGGGTTCGGTTTTTGATGATATCGTTCATTTTACGCGCGAGCATCTCTTCGTTCAGTTGGATCGCGTTCAAGTATGAGTTTGGTGGTAAAATGCTGTAAATTTAAAATTGCGATAAGAATCGATTTGCCTTATAAGAACTGCTAATAGGTAAGCGGTGATACTGACAAAAATAAGAAATTCATCACATTTACATGCGAACCAAATATATAGAACTGAGTAGACTAAGCATATTTTCATTCAACTTTCCACAAGTTTCGTCGAATAATCAGTATACAATTTGGATAACATAATCATTTCTATTGTCTTTAAGAAATCTCGGGTGATGTATTCTTTACATCACCCGAGATGTCGTCATATTTATTCAAGGGTTTTATTTTCGTTGGGATGGTCGTCACTTACTTCTGCTGCATTCACGCTTAATTTTAGTTAGGTATGAAATTTAAATAGGTATATTTAAAAAGAATCTAAATTACCTGCTGTACTGAGCACCTCCATATACAATAGGCACAGCATAATTATCGTAAGCATACAGCACCTCTTGAGTGATATAGTTGGGTGATAAAGAGTCCTCCATAGCCAGATAGAAATAATAATACTTCTTCAGTCTCCAGAAGCATCCAGCCATGTTTACCTTCCTGCACTTCTTCTTTCCACAATCACCGTACACATCTATATTCAATTTGTATTTGGACAGTTGCCATTTCAAGTTTTCTATATAGCCTTCTCTTTTACTCCTGCTCTTGCATTTGTCCAAGAATATGGCAGCCGCTTTGGCTTTCGTTGCCAGTTGGTTCTTCATGTACTCGTCTATAGGTGTCATGTTTGTTATCCATCGGAAATGACCGTCCAATTGTTCATCCTGTATATTGTGCACAGTAAAGAACGTGTACGGTATTGAAGAATCCATTCTGGGAAAATTAATGAAAAAAATTGATGAATTACAAGAAGTTTGTGAATTTTTATATTTATATTTTCTTTAGATTTCAACATCAAGCGGTTATATGCTTTAAAATAATAAAAATTATAAGTTTGAGAATGTTTAGCGACGGTTTCGCGAATTGTATAAAATTGTGTGTAATCAAGTTGTACTTAATCGTAGGAAATGAACCTTACTCCCTACCATCTATATCTTAAGCTGTGATAGCTGGTTGACAAATCTTCAGGGAACATTTATGAGGCATATAAAAATATAACTTAAAGTACCACATTTTACTATGTAACAAGGCTTGTAATAAAATACCACATTATTTGGCAAACTATCTTTGTTGATGTTAAGAGAAGAGTATATTTTGTAATCACAAATCTAACTCCCCATCACCATTCCACCATCGGACGAGCAGAGACACGGCAATAAGGTAGATATTCCATTATGGTAAGTACACGGGCCCGTCTTTCATCACCATCATTTTATAGCGGACATCCCAATTGTGGAAATTGCTGCCGGTTTCTCTGTTCCCTGATATACATACAAATTTCGTATATGCCAATCACTAGTGAAAAGATTCATCTTAGGCAAGGATGCCCCATGTCCCCGCTTTACACCATACAAGACTCCATCAGTTCCATCAGTTAATGGAGGTAGGCCACAGCGCATTTTCCACTCAAATTGGAGCACCTGTCTGGGGAAGCAATCTTCACCATACAGAAGACCACAGTAAAAAAACACTACCTTTGGGTGGTGTTGTGTTTCTGCTGTTGAGTAGGGTCCCAGGGCTCCGTGGGCTAGGGTAATGTGTTTAGACCGGCAAGGTGAAGAAGGATGGAGCGGCACACTTTCTGCCGCATCGTCTATCTTCGCGACTGTATTGCCATCGCCAGTCTATTTAAGTCAAGGTTTTCTTTCCTAGGAAAACCTTGACATGATATTATACTTAATTGTCTTTTCTTTTAATTAGTCTCATCAAGGTTTAATACAAACGCTGAATACTCACTTATATGTCCAGGTCCAGTTGAAGAATTGATCATACATAGAATCGCAGACTGGATAGTTGTCGGCAGAGTCGTTAGCGACGAAAACATACTTCTGTATGGGTGCTCGAACCGTAGGCAAGTCGCCTCTACCACCACTTATATCCTGGGCACTGAACAAGATTGCGTCAAAATATCCCAGGTTACCAAATAAACTTCTGTTCGAAGTGAAATAGCAGTTGGAAGAATGACACTTATGTTTTAGAAACGTCGCTTGTCCAGTACTCTCCATCCCGCTGATGTTGTGCCACAGCAAAATATGCTTCATGTCCGGCAAGAACCTCCTTAGTTTTCTGAATCTGAAGATCGGCCTAGATTTCTGGACTACGTATAAACTAAGAAGTATTATGAACAGGAGATGAGTAACTCTTCTCCAGAATTTACTTGTACGGTGTCTTTTGATGTTCGACATTGCTTAAGATTGATCCTTAATTAAGTGGCACTTCGGTTAACACTGAACATGTACTGAAAGTTGAACCTGTTCAGCGTGTTTGTAGTTCATTTTGTTGTTTACAAACAGGAACGGTTATGACACTTCACTTTACTGGTTAACGCGAACTGGTTTAATTCTTGATTCTTCGCATGTTTCTTGTAACTATGAATGTGATTATGAATCTTTTGCTCTAATTAAACTTTTATGATTTTACGTTTTGATATCCTCCTATTTCCATTTATGTACCAACTACGATTAAATCAAATCGATTTGAAGCAAGTGTCATTCTAAGCGCCTAGTAGGATAGATAATTTCTTACTATGGCGACATACTATTTCAAACATATGTCTTCTTATTAATAAACGATTATTAATAAGAAGACATATACTACGCTTGGATTAGTTACTCCATGTTTTGTCTCTGTCTATTGAATGACAAATGGCATTTGACTGACATGAACAACACACGGCGTATCTAGTCTAAGCTTATTCCTTGTTTATTAATAAGGGGGACGGGGTTTAGGTTTTGTAATTACTAGAATTGCTTCTGCAGTTCAGCCTCATTGATTTGAGGAAATAGGTTATAGTAGGTCACCTTTAAAAGGTAGACATATACTGTCGCAGACTTTTTTATAAATCTTTACAAAGGAGAACATTTCCGTAATACATGATTTTTGTGTAACTTTTACCGTTTAGGCAGCGCACGTAACGGAAACTTTCAAACGGAATATTTTTTCCGTATTTGTAACAATTTTTACTGTTGCTCCTCTTCTTTTGGTTGTATCTTTATGTTATAAAGCTTATAACCTCCCTCCATAAATGCACTATCCAACACAGAAGAAAAAATAATTATTGAAATCTGACTAGTAGTTCATGATTTTATGTAAAATTAATTAGAACCTGAAAAATACAAAGGCAAATCCAAGCCAACCCAAGCAGTGAATGGCAACTCAGATCTATCAATACGCATGGCACCGACTTCAAATTATTTTTGAGTTTTAATCTAATATATAAAATTCTCGTGTGCGTAATTGAACTACTTCGAAACGGATCGCCCGATTTTCGTGAAATTTTATATTCAGTGGGTCTGAGAATCGGAAACATCTATTTTTCATCCCCCTAAATGTTAAGGACGGTCCGGTCCACGCTTAATTTTTTTTTGGAGAAAATTTTTAGTTTTTATTTTTTTATGATACATCATACAAAAATACATCCAACCATAAATTTTCGCCCTTCTACCACCAACCCCTATTTTTTTATGGCGGTACGAAATTTGCTGGGACAGCTAGTGTAGATATAAGTAAAGAACATCAATTCTATCTTCTTTTTAGTGGTTTAGTTTTCATGAAGTGGTTTTTTTATTTTTGTTAAAAAGTTTTAATTTGACTCTTTTTATAAGCCCGAGCAAGATTAATTTACTAAATTAGGTACTTGACCTGCATTATCTCTTTTATATCTCTTAAAATAACCAAACAGGAATTGAGTACTGTTTGTAATTGTGGAGTCCATTATTTTCTCCGAAAGTACTGATCAGATCCTCACCAAATTAATAAGGGACCATTTGGCCAAAAAGTTGAATCTAAGAAAATAAGAATCATTAAATCATTGACTTCATATGTAATGGGTAAAACAGAAATTGGAAGTGTCAAGTGAGGGAGAAATGCGTAACTTTGAAAGTTGAGACTTATAATTAGTCCAATTTCAATCATCATCATTTCAGCCGAAAGACGTCCACTGTTGGACATAGGCCTCTCCCATAGATTTCCACAACGATCGGTCCCATGCTGCCCGCATCCAGCGGCTTCCCGCGAACTTTACCAGATCGTCGGTCCACCTTGTGGGGGGCCTGCCAACACTGCGTCTCCCGGTACGCGGTCGCCACTCGAGGACCTTTCCGCCCCAACGGCCATCGGTCCTGCGAGCAATGTGCCCTGCCCATTGCCACTTAAGGTTTGCAATTCTGTGGGCTATGTTGTGACTTTAGTTCTCTTGCGTATCTCCTCATTTCTGATTCGATCACGCAGAGAAACTCCGAGCATAGCCCTCTCCATTGCCCTTTGGGTGACTTTGAGCCTTCTTACAAGACCCATTGTAAGCGGCCACGTCTCGGTTCCGTATGTCATCACTGGCAACACGCACGAATTGAAGACTTTCGTCTTGAGGCACTACGGTAGATGTTCCGAGAAGATGCTACGTAGCTTCCCGAACGCTGCCCAGCCGAGTTGGATTCGTCGATTAACCTCTTTCTGGAAGTTGGACTTACCCAGTTGGACTATTTGTCCCAGGTATACGTACTGGTCAACAACTTCCAGTGTAGAGCTCCCAACAGTCACTGGAGTGGGTACGACATGGGAATTCGACATGATTTTCGTCTTGTCCATGTTCATTTTGAGACCAACTTGTTGGGACACCCTACTGAGGTCGCCGAGCATTGTGCCAAGGTCATCCATGGTCTCAGCCATGACTACGATATCATCTGCAAATCGAAGGTGCGTCATGTACTCGCCGTTTATGTTGATGCCAAGTCCGCTCCAGTCCAAAAGTTTGAAAACGTCTTCCAGCGCAGCTGTAAACAGTTTCGGTGATATAACGTCACCCTGTCTTACACCACGCTGCAGCTGGATTGGCTTCGTGTTTTGGTCCTGGAGTCGAACTGACATAGTGGCGTTTTCATACAACGACTGCAACACTTCGATGTATCGATAGTCTATTTGGCACCTTTGGAGTGACCGAAGCACGGCCCATGTCTCGATCGAATCGAAGGCTTTCTCGTAGTCCACAAACGCCAAGCATAATGGCAGGTTATACTCTTCGGTCTTCTGTATAACCTGCCGCAGCGTATGGATGTGGTCTACGGTACTAAACCCTTTTCGGAATCTGGCTTGTTCGGGAGGCTGGAAGTCGTCAAACCTGCGCGCGAGACGATTCGTGAGGACTCTCGAAAACAACTTGTATACATGACTCAGGAGCGTGATGGGTCTGTAATTCTTCAATTGGGCCCTGTCTCCCTTCTTGAAGAAAAGCGCCACCACTCCCCTATGCCATGCGCTAGGCGTTTTGCCCTCGAGTATGACAGAGTTAAATAGCTTCTGAAGAGATTTCAAGACTGGTCGTCCACCTGCTTTCAGAAGCTCGGCTGTAACTCCGTCATCACCCGGCGCCTTTTTGTTTTTGAGCTGTTTCAGAGCTGCACTAATCTCGTACAGGCTGACGTCCGGGATATCTTCGGTGTAGTGTCGGGTTAATTTGGCTCTTGGGTCGGTCGCCTTTGTGACAGGTACTCGTGATGTCGCGTATAGCTGTCCGTAGAAGCTTTCGATCTCAGCCATAAGCTCAGGTTGCGACGAAATGATTCTGCCGTCCTCTGTCTTCAGCTTCGTCAGCAAACTCTGTCCAAGAGACAGATTTCTTGCGAACACTTTCGAGCCTTTGTTCCGCTCGATGGCCTCTTTAATACGATCAGTATTTTTTCCAACCAATTTCAATACTATTACTTTAATAAGTAGGTACACAATTCAGTAGGTAAGTATGCAAAATGTCTGGTACATTATAACTAAAACTATGAGAAATACCAATAGATTTAATTATGTACAAAATTTACTTTATTGCAAAAAACAGCATGATACTATATTTGAATTTAAAATCTGTATTTAAAGTTGATTACTTAAGGAAGAATAACAGACTATTTAAAATCATTTGTATGACAAAACGGCGTGTTCACCATTTCTCTATTGCTTTTGTAATTGTTTGCAGTGTCCTACAAATAAATGATCTTAATTTCAAGTAAATAAATAAATATTTCCAACACTCATACCAATTAGCCTAGCCCCAAAGTAAGCACTGTAAGGCTTGTGTTATGGGATACTAGGGTAACGGATAGAATACATATATAAGCATATTTATATAGAAATACATATTAAACATCCATGACTGCAATACAAATGTTCGTATTTGTTACACAAACATCTGACCCCACCGGGATTCGAACCCGGGACGTACGGTTCGGCGACACCATGAAACCCGGCGTACAAACCACTCGGCCATGGAGGTCGTCAAGTAAATATTTTGTATAAGTGGTTATGGGTTATGTTCTCTTAAAAGTCTCTTCGGTGTCTCGTGCGAGACTGGTCGTTACGTTCCCTAAAATATGATTGTTTTATGCGTCATCCTCGTAAATGGGTGCTGCCAGCGGAGATGAGCCTGCCCTAACTTTGATATTGAAGATGTTAATGTCTAGTTACATCTAATATAAATAACATAATTTGTATTTATACTGTATGACACAGCAATCAAGCTGCAGGTTTACAATTAATGTATATTTCGCATTATAATTATATAGTGAAAGGTGACTTTATGAATCATCTCGAAGTCATTTACAACTTGACGACTTTGAAAATAATAAAACAGGGAGAAAAAACAGCCCTTGATGGTTTTTGTCGGTTCTTCTCAGTACAAGGTCTCCAGCCGTAGATTGATGAACTGATGGCGTAGCTTCTAAACATTTATGAATGTTTGTAACAGCCTAAACTGCTTAAATGATTCTTCATTCTGATCATGATTATGATTTGCAAATGGCGCACTTGAAGCCATAAGGCATTCTCTACCAGTCGACCAGTAAGAGTCTGAGAAAAAAATATCACGGTGGATATATAGTGATAAGACACCATGTAATAAACCTGGCTATATAATATAAAAATAGAATACACACACATTAAATTATTTTATTACCTTTACCATTTATGTATTTAAACATAAATATTACAAAGACATTATTAAATGGTAAAAGATAATGTGAAGATTCATATCAGAATCATAATACATAGTTTTATATTTATTTAAAAATCTTTTTGTGCTCATAACAACAAGGATTAACAGTAAATGCGAAATGTAAAAGCAAAGGAAATCTAATTTTCGGCGGCATTGACATTTCCCGCTCTTTTTATACAAAATGGCGGCCGGCGTGTTCGCGTGAGCATTGTC